CAAATGCTTTAAAAATCAGTAAATGCGCATTTTGTATTCGCCTGTCTTGTACATTTTTAAATAATTTACTTAAACAGCAATAATAAACTGACCTTTGCAATGGTAAAGTGTTGTGTTTTCTTTGCGGTACGAACTGAGTTCCTAAATATTATTTAGACGAATTTCGGCTTCAAAGGGTTAAATGCACACCTAACAAAATGGTCTGTCACTGCAACTTCCCTGCGCGTCACTATAAATATCGTGTAATTCTAAGCTGTAAAACATACGCCACCATATAGCAAAATCTGCAGAGCAGTTTCCATTATCAGGGACAGAGTTGGTTCCCGAAACGTCGGTTTACTACGGTAACCAGTTAACGCGGCTGATTGCCCGAGAAGATTTTATTGAGTTTCCATTAGGTTAGTATACAGGATACAGTAAGTCATGGTAATGCCATGTTACCGCAAGGAAGTCAGAGAAAACTATCAAATATCACAACCGGTTCCTACACCCTGACATCATCAGGCTCTCACCTTTAGAGCTGTACTTAACAGAACCAGCACAGCACAGTCATGCAATGCAAACAACTGATCTTCGTGGTTCTTACAAGATTTAAAGCAACTTGCAGCACCCTGTAACATGCATTACTCAAACGTATTCTTTGCTGTTGCAAGTTTTTATACTTCATTGATACTACGGAGCGTGACAGCAGAGTTCTAAGCACTCCCAACTTCCATTCGCGGAGTCCAGGGTTCAAATATAGACCCCGATATTGACTAACCTGACATAAAATGCTCAGATATTAACTTCTACCATGTGATCGGTTAACTACTGTAGTTATTTTGCTAGTTGGTTAGTTACGTAGTCGGCAGTATGTGAAGTTTAACATAGGGAATTTTATTCGTAACCTAGTCAGTCAGTTGAACAATCAGTTAGCTGGGTATAATACTGCAATAATAAAAAAAATCAACACGATTAGTAATTTACTGTCTTTCTATGAGGTTTAAGAAATGATTTTGGTCATCTTCAATGTTGGGTGGATGCTACATTCTGAACTTCACAGTAGAAAAGACGCAATTTCACATGTAGTCAAGGGCGTGACGTAATCACAATGCTGCTATTTGACCCACGGTGCTTTGTGCTCTACATATCCTGTTAATTAACGTGAATGGCTTTCATTTTGTTTAAAAACCTAACAATGAAACAGTCTGGCGCTAGGATCCTGTCTCAACCGAGAGTTGAAATCAATGATTTTTCATATACTTGGCGTTTGTTAAATTAACACTTATATACACGCTTTCAAAAGCATCAAAATACTAAATCACTGAATATGTTCCACACGCGGCGAGAAAGCGACTTTCTTCTAGCCATGTTTTAAAATTTAACGAACCGAAATTACATTCCGGTAGCATAAACCGGAGATTCCACGTCGCTAACACCAAAACCCACTAGTTGCATTAACCTCGCAGCTTAACATCCAATTTTCTTAAGATCCATGTCGGCATAATTTCAAGTGACTGTTAAGCTAAAGGTTTCTCGATAAAAATGCTGTATATTTTACTAGTCTCTCGCCTATGATCTAGGCTAAATAACGTGGGGGCGTAGTAATTGGTAATCCTATTTTGTAATCGGGACAAGTCTAGTACAAATTACGAACCGAAACCTCCTTAAAGTTTCGTTTCCCCAGATACTGGAGACTTCATTCAAATAAGTCACAACCGCCTCCTACACATAATGTATTATCACCTTTACATCTCCTTCGACGCATTCGAAACAGCACCGTGATATGTCTATTATAACCTGTACAGTAAAAACAGCCCCATAAACAGCCTAAGACTCAATCTGATTGCTCATTATAAATATGAAAACCACATCTTGCACTAAGTCCTGAGCCAGTTCAACTCAGTCAACATTCTCTTAAAGTGTCTTTATAAAAATGGTAAAATACCTTCAACACTTCTACTTCTAGATCTTTCAGGTGACACTTTCCTGCCAAAATGTACGTATTTCTTGAAACGCGATATTCAGTATCGACCGCTCACTGAGTACTCACTTGTTTACGTGATGAAATATCTTAGTGTCTAAACGAGTTGTTATCATGTTCATTGTGAATGCTTTAAATATCACACAATTCTGTGAAAGACGTCAGTTTCAACCTCGATTTTGCGGAGATAACAAAAAGTACTTTCATAACGCCTTGAGAGACCGTGTGAACGATACTTCAGCTCCAAGTTGGAAGCACAAAACTTGTATCATTGTCTCATGAGTACAAACAAAATATCACGTATATAATGTCAGTCATATTCATACCATACCACACTGCTGAAATTAACATATCAATTTTCAAACAGTTTGTTTCACTTACTGAACCACATACTTCACATTAGGTTAGTATACAGGATACAGTAAGTCATGGTAATGCCATGTTACCGCAAGGAAGTCAGAGAAAACTATCAAATATCACAACCGGTTCCTACACCCTGACATCATCAGGCTCTCACCTTTAGAGCTGTACTTAACAGAACCAGCACAGCACAGTCATGCAATGCAAACAACTGATCTTCGTGGTTCTTACAAGATTTAAAGCAACTTGCAGCACCCTGTAACATGCATTACTCAAACGTATTCTTTGCTGTTGCAAGTTTTTATACTTCATTGATACTACGGAGCGTGACAGCAGAGTTCTAAGCACTCCCAACTTCCATTCGCGGAGTCCAGGGTTCAAATATAGACCCCGATATTGACTAACCTGACATAAAATGCTCAGATATTAACTTCTACCATGTGATCGGTTAACTACTGTAGTTATTTTGCTAGTTGGTTAGTTACGTAGTCGGCAGTATGTGAAGTTTAACATAGGGAATTTTATTCGTAACCTAGTCAGTCAGTTGAACAATCAGTTATCTGGGTATAATACTGCAATAATAAAAAAAATCAACACGATTAGTAATTTACTGTCTTTCTATGAGGTTTAAGAAATGATTTTGGTCATCTTCAATGTTGGGTGGATGCTACATTCTGAACTTCACAGTAGAAAAGACGCAATTTCACATGTAGTCAAGGGCGTGACGTAATCACAATGCTGCTATTTGACCCACGGTGCTTTGTGCTCTACATATCCTGTTAATTAACGTGAATGGCTTTCATTTTGTTTAAAAACCTAACAATGAAACAGTCTGGCGCTAGGATCCTGTCTCAACCGAGAGTTGAAATCAATGATTTTTCATATACTTGGCGTTTGTTAAATTAACACTTATATACACGCTTTCAAAAGCATCAAAATACTAAATCACTGAATATGTTCCACACGCGGCGAGAAAGCGACTTTCTTCTAGCCATGTTTTAAAATTTAACGAACCGAAATTACATTCCGGTAGCATAAACCGGAGATTCCACGTCGCTAACACCAAAACCCACTAGTTGCATTAACCTCGCAGCTTAACATCCAATTTTCTTAAGATCCATGTCGGCATAATTTCAAGTGACTGTTAAGCTAAAGGTTTCTCGATAAAAATGCTGTATATTTTACTAGTCTCTCGCCTATGATCTAGGCTAAATAACGTGGGGGCGTAGTAATTGGTAATCCTATTTTGTAATCGGGACAAGTCTAGTACAAATTACGAACCGAAACCTCCTTAAAGTTTCGTTTCCCCAGATACTGGAGACTTCATTCAAATAAGTCACAACCGCCTCCTACACATAATGTATTATCACCTTTACATCTCCTTCGACGCATTCGAAACAGCACCGTGATATGTCTATTATAACCTGTACAGTAAAAACAGCCCCATAAACAGCCTAAGACTCAATCTGATTGCTCATTATAAATATGAAAACCACATCTTGCACTAAGTCCTGAGCCAGTTCAACTCAGTCAACATTCTCTTAAAGTGTCTTTATAAAAATGGTAAAATACCTTCAACACTTCTACTTCTAGATCTTTCAGGTGACACTTTCCTGCCAAAATGTACGTATTTCTTGAAACGCGATATTCAGTATCGACCGCTCACTGAGTACTCACTTGTTTACGTGATGAAATATCTTAGTGTCTAAACGAGTTGTTATCATGTTCATTGTGAATGCTTTAAATATCACACAATTCTGTGAAAGACGTCAGTTTCAACCTCGATTTTGCGGAGATAACAAAAAGTACTTTCATAACGCCTTGAGAGACCGTGTGAACGATACTTCAGCTCCAAGTTGGAAGCACAAAACTTGTATCATTGTCTCATGAGTACAAACAAAATATCACGTATATAATGTCAGTCATATTCATACCATACCACACTGCTGAAATTAACATATCAATTTTCAAACAGTTTGTTTCACTTACTGAACCACATACTTCATTTTGTATCGTACAGAGTGGACAGTTTATTGCTTGATGAAAATGTTCCATTATAACTTCAGTATAATAAATTAACAGTTGTCACTAACCTTCAGAGAATTATTAGTTATCGAAACAGTAGAGGGTTATATAATAAAACTAACCTAAAACGCAACCTGTAAAGCAAGGAAATCTGTCTTTAACAGAAATTTCTCTTAATGCCGAGGATTTTAAATAAAACATAATGAAAAACAATTTTCTTTGGACTTAAATAGCATAAGGAAGAAACGTACATTACATACAAGAAGTTATCTAAAAATTTACTAGAATATGTATACTTTCCTGTTTATATAATTTTTATGCAATGAACATTGTGGAATTCACACATGACGTAACATTTCTTTCGCAAATGGGAAAGAACTAAACCCAATCGTCCACAAAACGTGTACATAATAATTTAACGTACTAAAAACATGTTCTGCTCCACAGCATTGCAGTACACATATATGCAACACGAATTCTTGACTTTTAATTTCGATTATAAAAACACGATTACACGTTTCTGTGTCGCACATATTACGTAATACAATGTAAGCATAAATAAGCATCTCAAGAACTTGTCTTCAACGGAAAATATTCAGGATCCATGATATTTTGTAATAATGCATTTTGATGAGAAAAATTCTTGCCTTACCTTCTTTTGTAGTAGCGAAGGTGTTGTCAGGGTCCACCTGTGAAGAACAAGAGGATATTAAAGATATTGTGGTACTAGCGCCATTAACAACAGGCGATACGTCATTGTTTATCACACAGGAACTATGCGGAGACAGAATTAATATCACAACCATTCAGCTACAGGCGTCCACTGTCACAACCAAAAACTGCAGTTTATGAGGTCACACTTCACATCTATATCAGTTCAAGAAGCTCTTATACATTATCTTATAAAGTTCAAAGCACGTCCAAAGCCTTTCAGGTATGTGTAAAATATATATACCACCTGCTTTAATATTAATCCACTATTTCTCCCCTGGGAATTTCCTCTTGAGATTCCTTCGTTTTCAGAATTAACACTGATGGTTTCAGTAAACAACACAGAAAGGTTAATCTTCTCAACAAAGATGCTGTGTGTATTTATGACAGTAGAAGCCAAACTTTTAAATGTTATTTACATCAGCTTCGAACTTAAGCAATTCGGGTTCATTTGCTTGCTTTCCTAATTCCAGAAACGCGTAGCTTTAGACATTGTAAGATTTTAAATACGTAATTTATAAATAAACATCCAATTAAATGAAAACATTATTCTTACTATTACGAACACATAAACACGAATATCACACTCGGTTCACTTCAAAGAAGATAGCTTCCCCGCAGACAGCTGTAAAACCATTAAATTACGCGGTATGCATGAAGAATCTGGAGGCAGATTTCAGTAGTGGGTCACAAAAACTCCTCAGCAGTCCGGTTCGCTGTGAAATGAAATACAATTGTCTTACTGCCTCCCCCTGCTGTGATAATATGAGAGAAGATTACTAAAGAATGGAGCGACTGTGGCGAAATCTACCGGCGAGTTCCGCTCCCTGACTTTTTTCCTCTCATTCCTCATTCTAACGTAACGTACGGTTTGCAAACGTACATGCATCTCCCTGGTGCACAAAAGCTGTGAAATCAAAGAGACGTCCTCACCAGTTGGTGTGGAACATGCTGTCTCCTGATAAGAAATGTGTTTATATACTCTTTTCGTAAAATGCATAATATAAAAGCACAAATCGGAGGTTTACCTCTCGGTCCGCATTTATGATCTTCGAAACTATTTGGGCCTCAAAATTATGTGCCGAATGTCTACACCAAACGTTATTGGAGGAATGTCATTCAGATTCATACAATACAACATCTACTTTGCATGTAGCTAATATCGAATCTTATTCACTATATCTAAATATTGGTAATGTACATGATTATTTTATTGACTTTATTGAGATTATTGAGATCTGCACATCACAAGCTTGTTTGAATAACATTAGATACGTTACCAATAAATAACTAACTACGTGGTGCAGGAAATTCTTTTAAAAATCGATCGTATACTCGGCTTATCAAAGGAAAGCCCATTTTCCTCATGGAACCCGAAAGTTCATCACCATGTCCACAAAAGCTTGCCACTGAACACTCTTATGAGCTAGTTTCATCAAGTTCGCTCCATCGATTCCTGTCTCCCAAAGGCCCATCTAACGTTATCCACCCACCTAAGTCCAGGTCTTCCCAATGGTCTCCTCCCTTCAGACCTCCTAACCAATACATCCTCCCCCATGTCCCGCCGACCTCATCCTCCTCGATTTAATCAACCTGACAATATCAGGTAAGAAGTACAGGCAGTGAAGGTCATCATGCAATTTTCTCCATGATCCATCTTCCTCCCTTTTAGGTCCAAATATCCTCCTCAACACTCTGTTCTATGTTCCTCCCTCAAACTGAGAGACCAAGTTTCGCACCCATACAGCACAACCGGCAGAATTACACTTTTGTTTATTTTAATCTTTATATTTTTTATATGAGACGGGAGGACAAAAGATTCTGGGGGTTTTCATGGTTTATCTCAGTCCCTATGATGTAAGCCTAAAAGGCAAACGCTAACTTAAAATTGGAGTAAAGGCACGTAGGTTTGTTTCTTCGGCGTTCAAGCTGGTTCTCGGGCCCATCCGCCACACTGTTCAATGAATACCAAGACCTTGTTTCCTGGTGACAATATCGCCCGAGTCTGAAACTGGTCGTTCGCCTCTGTTTCGTGTCGAGGTTAAGAATGAGCTTAGCTTTACCGCCATTACAGGCCTTCGTAGTGTGACGCTTTCACACAGACGCTACTTTGCCTCTTTACTTTTGAACAGTCTAGCCAAACCCAAAATAAAACCTGAGTCTGGATAGCTGTTAACCCAGCCAGGACTCAAACCAGATACCTCCGAATGGAAGTCTACAGCGTTACCGCTCTATGTTGCGGGGAGCAATGGTCCGGACTGGCTACCTTGAAAGATCCTGCAATGTCCTTGAGATTATAAAACACGGCCCGGACAGATTACTCAGACGCCATATGATCCTTTAAGTTGGCTTTAGTCAAAGAGATTTATTTACCTTTCAAATTGCTTCGTAATGTTTTGATGTTCGTGCATAAAGAAGCTTACATAACTTAGAGAGACCAAAATGTGAAAATAAAACACGAATTTGCGCGAAGATCATACAAAGACGATGAAATTATGCTAAGGATAGAATATTTAAACCTGGTAATAGAGGCAGCAAGAACCTCTGAAACGATGGTAAACATCTGCCAGACTACAAAGCATCACAACCCAGAAGACAACCATCTTCACCTATATTTAGTAATACACAAATCATTAATCAGTTTCTATTCAGAATTCACAATTTAAGAAAATGTTACATCGACTTCATAACGTTTCATCAAATCGTTCGTCACTGATTCGTATTTCAACGGGATGAGTAATCAGTAAGACTTAATAATCTATGATCTGAAGCTTTCACGGCGACTAAGCATAATTAATTCTTCTCGGGCTACCAGCCGTGTAAGGTTGCTTAATGAAGAAAACACCATTGTTTATTTCTTCATTAAGCCACCTTAGCCCGAGAAGAATTAATTATATGCAAAACTTAAGTTTACAGCTATTTAAATAAACTTATTCTTGAAAATTCCTACTAAGGCCTTAAACTCAAAATGAATACATGCTATATTTTCAATATATATTCTAACTCAGGGGTGGCCAACCCAAATGATCTTTCGGGCCACTTTGGAAATGCATCATAACTCCGCGGGCCACATATAAAATTATATATCCCCATATTAGATTTAGATACACTATAGACACTGTAAACTCATGAATAAAACAGGCAATATCTGTCATATATTCGCAAGAATATTATTTTAAAATCAAAGTTAATTTTTTCTCATAATTTCGACAGATAATTTTTGAATATATGGATGCACAAATAATGTATTTTTTTAATACATTGGTTTTCACTACTTTGGCCATTATAAAATAAATATATTTTGTAAAAGTGTGATGAATCTCGCGGGCCGGAAAAATGTTCAAGGCGGGCCGCGGGTTGGCCACCCCTGTTCTAACTAAATCTACGGAATGGAATCCTTCTTGAGAAGCTGGACTGTACACCCAGCTACTCAATGAATTCCCGCAATGGAACCCAAAAGACTATTAGCGTGATCACAAGAGCCCTCACTGATCACTATCCTAAGCCAGATCAGTGTAATCAAAGAACTAAGAGCCAATGTGTTTGAATGGGATTCTTGTAATGCAAGATGCATCTCTAGCGATCTCGGGAGTATCACACATGCACTCTCTCTTTCTTCCACAGAATTAACAACCAAGCTCTGAGCTCATGCAAAGAGCAACATCCCATTCAAGTATGTACCAACAGGTTTAACTGTTTTCTTTTTCTGATTCTCAAGGTTTTTCGTCGTTATTTTTATCGTGAGCGCAGAAGCAGCAAAACAACTTTTTTATCTCTCAAAGTAGGAAAGTGCCTCGACCACAAAGCATTCAATATGCAGTTCTTATTATCCCAGTTGGATTAATCTGTATGTTATTTTACGACGTTTTTCAGGTTTAGACACCCTTCAAGGCTTAAGACTCCCATATGCTAATCCGAACGTCGGCGGATCTATTTTCCCCAAGTTTTTAGATTTTGCTGCTTCAACCCAGTCCTTAGGAATAAAATTGTCAGAAGCGTATTTTTAACTATATATATGACAACCCATCCAAGCTAAGAACACATGTCCAACTAAAAGACGAACAGGTGAACAGCGGCTGTAGAGAAAAGTAACGTTAATGGAATTGCATAATTAAAGGAAGAAAATAAAAGTTTACAATTGCCGCCACTTGACGGAGCTAGTGATCATCCGCGTGTTCTGTAATAATTTAAAAAATATCCGCCAGATGGCAGTATATTCCGTTAGTTTACGTGAAACAATAAAAATAATTAATTAGTATATCATTAGCCATCGGCCATGCTTACAACAGCGTATAATGGAAAGTCCACGTTAAACACGTCAATTTCTCGAGACTCCTATTCGGTACCATTATTTTATAGTGATTTACTGTGTTCATTAATGAGATAGACATTTTATGACGTGGGGGTGTCAGACACTTTCAGAACAAAGAGATGGAATCAGTTCCGCTTGCATGTGGCCAAGGGAGGGGTCAAATAGCCAGACAGGTGAATAGAACATTATACTATTCCCAACGATGGCCACGTCATTAAGTCGCAGTCGATGGATTGGTGTATTTCAGTCTGCTGCAGCCTCTGGACTCTGTTCTTTATTGAAGGTAGTCGGTTTTTTCGAGGTTAATTACAGAGAGAGATTCGTGGGCTAAACTGACTTGTAATCATTCGAGGTTCTCGCGGTAGTCTGGTAGAAGTTTACCAACGTTTCAGAGTTGCTTGCTGTCTCTATCATCAGGGCAAATATTGTCATCTTCATTAAGACAACAGCTTCTGAATTGTTTGATAACAAATATTCCCTGAATTCATTCGTGAATGCAACTTTGATTTGAGATATAGGCCCTATTAACAATAAACAATATTCCATCTACAACTTTCCAACCGGTCTCCTTCAATAAAAACAGCTTATTATAAAAACAAAACATTTCACTCCTTTCTTGAAGACTATCACGACCTAATACCCATACAACCTTGACACCAAGATGGCTGCCACATAGTTGTCACATCGTTACAATCACAACAGTGAAAATGTTAGGTTATGTAATGATATTGTACCTACCAAATGCCGAGGTAGATCGGTTAACACCCCCGCTTTGCATTCATAGTGCCTCTGGTTCAAATCTCGGCCCGGGGACCGGCTATCCTGATTAAGGGTTTTCGTGGTTTTATTCCCGTCCCTCGAAACAAATGGAAGGACCATATTAAATTAGGCCATAACCAATTCTTTCCAGGTCATTTTTCACTGATATCCCATAGTTCGGCTATGTAGTTTATATTTGTCAGCGTCATTAAATGCACCATAAATGAGATAAATATGTATTAGGTCTACTTACAACGTCAAGTGTCACGTTGACGGGCGGACCTGCTTCGTAGTGTCGGGTTGAGAGGACACTGTTACCGACCAATGGGTTCCCCACGACATCTGTCGTCATCCTTGACACATTACAAGCGCTTCCTTCACACCTGCAACAAATACCCACAACTACATGATAAATCAAATGGTACACGTGGGAATTGTGCAATGCGTGCAGTATTTCGGTCGGAAGCCTCGATTGAAAAGTACGCTTCGAAATCTAAACGTTGTCCTACGCTGTGTCGTACTTTACGAGGCTTTCTTGTAGAGAGTCGCATGGAAAAATGGTTGTGAATAATGAACGGATGGAAATACGGGAGATGGTCATGGTGTATTTTAATACATTATCCTGCCGTTTACCTGAAGGTACTTGAAGGAAAATTGAAGATCTGAGTCAGAACAGGCGGTCTGCACAACCGAGAATAAACCCGGGATTTCCCTATTACGAGACACAGACGCTAATCACTCAAACGTGGCATTCCATGCGAGAGAAATATATAAATGCATCTGACAGACGAGTATGTGCGATATCAAGCACTATTATGACAAGACCCAATAACGTTCTTTATAAATATGGCGATGAAACTTGTGATATCTTACAACCATCGAAATCACTGAAGGTGGCTGTCTTCTTCAAACTCACCGCCGTTAAAACCTCAAATCCTACACGAAATCACTGTCAGCGTTTCAATAAAGACCTAATTTCCGGTATCGCCCACGTAAATTTACCTAATGTTCGCAGTCCATGGTACTGTTTTTAACTATTTTCTCGTAAAGCGTATCACTTATGCCTACACATAACCATGTGTTACGTAGGCGTTAAAGCTATAGTTTACAGTCGGGCGTAACACTCATTGTGCGCCAAGGTGTTTTAAGTTGCGGGGAAATGCACACTCCATAAACGAAAACTCACGGTAGACAAGAATTTAATCAGTTAACAATAAAATTCGTCACGCGTCCACAGAGGTGAGCGAGATATTGTTCGTTTATGGTTGACTTGTCAGGGTACGTTTAACGAATCCTTCTCATGACCATAAAAGAGTTAGCAACCGTCAGTGGGGGCAGTTACAGGCAATGCTAGCAGCATTATGGCCATTTGGAAATTTTCCAAATGTTTCGATGTTAGTGTTTATGACTATCACATGTTGCATCATGCCCCTGACGCGGCCATATTGGTCTGTTTGGCTTGCAGGTTGCGTAGCGTTCCAAATAAGGCAACGCATATCTGTATCAAGTACAAACGTACCTGCGTAAGTAAGTGTGGGTATGCACTGAACTTGCGTGGGAACGAATTTCTGGTTTGTAAATTTAGTTTTGTTTTATAAAACTCGAGATTTGTATGTGGAAACTTCCTTCAACTGACCAGGTTAAAATTATTAATTTTCTTTGTTTAAGACATAATCCTAATTACGCAGAAATTAGAGGGAGTGAACGGGGCAGCATGTAGGGCAAAAACTTGTTAGGGCGGAGCTTTAAGTGCCAAAAAAGTAAATAACACATGAGGCACACTTTGTTGTATAAACCGTTTCGTTTTCTAAACAGTCTTTGTGCGAGTTTGCACAAAATACATAAGGCAAAGCACAGTCAGGGAGGTTGCCGTCCGTATGTTCCATTTTCAATATTATACGATTTTCGATTACGTTTAGGACGAATTTTCATTTTTTTAAGATCTGGTTTAATCTGAATTATGCTTCGTATCTATATAAAACAATCCCTAATACATATTAAACTAAATTCAATACCGATCTTACTAAATTATTGTAATAAATCATTGCACAAAAGTATATAAAATTCAGACTGCATTAAAGTTATATTTTCTTAATATTTGACTAAGCACAAGGGAAAATAATGGTTCAACTCTGTTCAAACTGATTAGTTTCTGAGCATGAGATTAATTAATGCAATGTCGTCCCTGCGCTTAATTAAGCACCACATCACCAAGACATGAGAAACTGGAGGTATAGCTCCACACATTCTCAACCTTGGAACTAGATAAATGTGAATAGTCCGCTTCACAAGCTGGCCGCTTTATCCCAGAGGTAAGATTCCCCGGTACCCATAGGTCAGGAGGCTGGGTGGACCCCAGAGCAAGTCTGAACGTAGTGCTTCAGTCAGAAATCGAACACTGGTCCTTTAGCCTGTATTCTATCCACTATACTGACTGAACTGTACTAACTGTAACAGAAGGTTTATATCTCCTATAAATAAATACCGAGGACAATGAGATATGCTAAATAGCAAAGAACTCATTTGGAAAATATCCTTCCTAGCTTTCTTCTTGCTGTAAATACACCATAAACCTTTGTTGTCATTCTGATCGACTTCATTACACCAAGAAGCAGAAATAAGTTACCTTGCCTTCTTCATATATGGGCAAATTCTGTCCAGTCTGCATTGATCAAGCCTCTCTCTTGCTGAGTGTTTTAGTCATGACTGAATTGCAAACTTTCACATAAAACTTCACTCGTGCTTCAGCGCATAACGATTCTAGAACTCAGTGCATGCGTCTGTAACATTCTTCACATGTGAAAATTCGGTCTGAGCTTGAATCTGACCAATACCGAGACGGCAGTGTGCTTAGGCAGAAGAATAAATTTGAGCTTCACACATAACGTACTAATCTAATTTTCTACAAGGTTTGTATGCTTAATAAAAGCATTTTATGCTTTTCACATGTCTGCTATCGTCCTTATTGGCATGGAACTATTTTGGAAGTAAATGGTCAAAGCAAATTGTGTCGGATGAATTTCGTGGTGTTATACAGTCCCAACCATGTTTTCTTTGACGCTATAGAACTCAAGTAATTGATATAACATCGTCAAATAGCCTAAAGATGAACCAAGTGCCTTCTGCGTGTCCGGTTTATCCAAATTTCATTTTTTAATCGCTTAACAGCTCGATCTACGAAATTATAGGTCTTGCACTTAGGCACTGGATTTTTTTTCTTTTATATCAAGACCCAGAACAGCTCGAGACCCTCGCCAGTCTCCTACACGGTAGGGGGGCTCTTTCCTGGAGGGGACAGCTAAGCTCTGCGTCACCATCATTATTACCTCCAACAATACTTGGTGAACGGCATAAACCACGAAATTTTTAGATGTGTAATCTTATGCTGCCAGGAAAAACAATCTTGACGACTCTCCTGCCTTGCAACAACCTTCAAGGGTCAAAGTGATCAAGTGATGGTGCACACCTTGCTGACGACACACAGTCCTTGACACGCCCACTCGCTGGATTTCCTACCGTCCTGCGTGTTTCTCTTACATCAAGAATGACTTACTGTCGCTTCAACATTGCAAGCTTCGAGCCCTTCGTCTTACCAGAGGTCCGTTCCCTTTTTAAGTACTTCCTCTGCGAGTGAGAGCTCACATCCCCACTCCACTTTCCATCTCTCATTCATCCGTTTATCATCTACCTTCCACACTTCCAAACGCCTTCTTCCACCAACCATCTTCACAAGATAGACGAACGGACACTGCTTACTTGCCTGCCGTGGAGCAGCGGCTAGCATTTCTGTTTCGTATTCTAAAAGTTCGTGGTTCGAATTTAGATCTGGAGGCCAGGTGACTTAGTTTCTTCAAAATCATCGTCAGTCTGGCCTGGAAAATGCTGTGATAGTACCTTAAAATAGCCTACAGCCGATTTTATTACGTCCTCGCCAGGGTATATCGTATTCTTTGAACACTTAAATGGCGCGATCTGTAGCACTATACACAAGTGTGCGTGGGAACACATCTTGTCCTCATGTTCCTACACTTCGCCGTTCCAAAGCCTCGCCAAATTCCTGACACGCCTACTCCAAACGCAGGCACGAGAACACTATTGTGGGTTACCTATGCTATGGGCAACATGACAAACCTTCATTTTAAACTTATAAGGATCTCTTCCCAATTCCATTGTTTCCTAGTTAAGATAATGAACAGACTTGTCTTCACAGTAACAATAGCTGTCTGCTAAGCCATAAAGTCACGTACATCGCCCTGACGATAGAGACAGTAAGTACTTCTGAAACTTCGGTCACTTTATTCGAATCCCGTGTATGAACGGAATATCTTGACAAACAGGGTATAACTGAATATAATTCAATCATAGAGCTACTTGTCATTTAATGATTTGTTTGGTTGGTAATAATTTGTAATGACAGTGCTAAGTGTGTTTGAGAAAACCTCCATACTCAATACAATCTTAATCTGTGTTCTGTCATCTGTCAAGTCATGTGTGGCCTTTAAAAATACAAATCGAACTGTCTTAATAAACTTATAGATCTTGTTAACATACTTAAGTTTTATTTTAAAATTTTTTCTTTTGGTCATGGTTAGTAACTACTTAAAACAATAAATTATTTCTCTGCGCGATGTGGTATTATGGCGTGATTGATTACCTTTGCAAGAATATATGTGTATGAAATAAATTAACATCATAGCCAATAAGTTATAACAATTGCAAAGAATGCCTTACGTAACTACTGCAGATTTGAGTAAACATTTCCATTTTGTAATGAATTTCCTTGAATTGGACACCTGACGAGTCTACATCTTAAGTGCAATTTCCGTAGCAAGTTAGGTTAAAACTAAATGTGAATAATGATACGCGGACATATTCATTGCATTTAACATTAAATATTCTGGGTCCGTAGAGCGTATTACTACACAAATATAATCGTATTAAAGGCATATAAAATGACTTATCTCTAGTTTAGATTCCAGTTGAAAGACCTACATTATTCGTCAGTACTATGTCGTCCTTCAATTGCAACCTCGTTTTATCCACCTCAGTCACTAGGCTTTCATTTCGAAACAGCGTCATTTACATTTCACAACAACATAAAAGACAACCTAACCAATTTCTTCGACCGATCTAAA